CATAGATCTCTCGATCCAAAACCAACTCATCAGACAGAACAATTAAGATCCAGAAATCGGAAACAGAATCGTACAGATTATCATAGAAATTCATTAGTAATATCAATAGAAATAATTGTACGGACCAATAGGAAGTCGTAAATACCGCAAAGCGAATCAGACATATCACATTAACAGAAGCAGAATCAGAATTTTAGAGTACGTCTGTATCAGGAATTTAATTTGCTTACTCAGAAACATGATAGCGGAAGAGCAGCAATATCACATAACAAGTAGCGGAAATTCATATAAATGCATTCCAACAGATTCATATTTATTTATATGTTAATTAGCTAAACTAATTAAAACCAGCAAAATCACTACGATTCGTGACTCTTATGTTCTCTCATTCCTAACATGCGCCCATTGAAACTTCTCTGTTAGTAATACATATAACTACAGTGTCTTCATCCCAGCAGGCACCAGAATAACAGAATTCCTCGGTTATTTATTTGATGCTTTCAATCGATTTTCCTCGAGATCCAGGTGATTCAAGACAATAATCTTCTTCCAACTTGAGCGTCAACTAAGATTTTCACCAGACACATAAAGAAAATTCTCTAGGATCCAGGCCCCTTTAATTTCTTTTTATAGCCATAAAGATAGCATTTCAATTCAGTAATTTAGAATCATAGGGCAAGATCACTTGGAATATCAGATCAAAAATAGGTTCGTAAAAAACACAAAACATGGCAGTAGAAGAATTTAACACAGTTCACTGCACAGTAAAATTATTCAGTACAGAATGTCCGGTTCAGAAACTAAGTATAATTCTACATGTACCAGCCATTTTATTCTGACTTGCAACAGAACATAATGCGTATTTAATCCTCACAATCTCACACGAAAATGTCAGTTTATACCAAAAAAAATTCCCGCCGAGATTCAAAATTAAACTGACAACTCTCTCCGCGACTAATAAATCTTTCGTACTATATAACCAAACAATGTGCAAAACACTCGGCACTCTTTGGTCCTAAACACAAATACAGAGGTTTTTTGCTCTCTAGGATGAAGCTACATACACAAAGGTAAAAAACTCTTAACTCTCCCATTCCAAAATTAATAACGGAAGCGAAAAAACATAGCAGATTTTAACATAATATAGGCATCAATCGGTATTTATTGTCAATGTACCGGACAGAAAAATACGCCAAACTCGAACGGTTCTGAAATGATGAAGGCGGAATGTGCCTTTCCTTGCGTTGTTACGAGCAAATTCCTTGAAACATCACTTTTTCGGTACGTGATTAACTGGCTCCTACGAACGTATGAATGCGTTAATCATAACATATTTGTCAACATGCCTCAACTTCTCTGACTCCTCAGATATTTTATTTTACTTTGATTTTTCTCTCTCTTCAAAACGACTAAAAGTCATGAAATCAGCTTTATAATCTTCAGATCGGCCCGGCCGATCGCCAGATCGTCCCAGGAAAAAATCGATCGTCCCGATCGTCCTGGACGGTTCCCAGAACTATTCTCAGGCCGACATTTTCTACAATGCCGATCGGCCTGGACGATGTCCAAATCGGCCTGGACGATATGTACAGAAAATCACCTGGAGCAAAACTGGGTAAATTCTGGAGCAAAATTTCCACTGATCGTCCCAGGACGATCCAGATCGTCCTGGACGATCCTGGAGCAGATTTTTGATATTACAACACTTAAGTAATCTGCTTCATGAACCTTCCCTATCACACAATCTCATTTCAATTTCAAAGCTAACTGTTGACAATCATGTCTCTATTTGCTTC